ATATATATGTAATTATATATATATGTAATTATATATATATAATATCATTTATAACTATCTACTTAGTTTGTGATGAGTTTTTTCGACTTGGACCTTGAACACATATGGTTGCGTTAGTTCACTTTTGGCATCTCGGGTCACAGATGTGGTTGCTAGTCACATCCTCATCATCAATAAGTGTTCAACTTGTTTTTATGATGTCTTCATACATTTTGTGCGGGTTGTTTCAGTTATGGCCCTTATCAGCTATAAATGAATCATAATTCTTATAATCGATGTTATATATCATTAGCCCAATTATAACTATTAGTTGAGCCATAACTGCAGGTTTTCAAATTACAACAGCCGCAAAAAGCACAGCGATTCTGGCGCTGAATCGGTACCCATGGCGCGTTTGGCGCGGCTTTGTCTTGCAGGGCCAGGGATTCCCAGTTGTCCGTTGTGCCTAGAGGATATCACCAGGGGAACTTGATTAGATGCCTAGGGGATTTCACAAGCAAAAATGATCGTCAAATAACATGAAATGGTTTAACATGGTTTAACCAAGAAAAAGTGAAGCTACAAAAATCAGAAAGATAGGATTTTTCAGATACATAAGATATCCGAGGATTTTTGGACTGGTGGATGGGTACACTTTTTGCAGCCTTGTTTCAGCGAGCGGGGAAAAGTCCCCAAAAAATCCCCCGGAAAAACCGAGACTGGGGAGAAAAGTTCCGGGTTGCCACAAACTGAGTATGTCCCAGTTGTAACTTGTTTTTTAAATCCCATGATGTATATGTGATATATATATATACATATCTATTTTTATATATATATACATATACCTATCTATATATATATGTGTGTGTATTATATACATCCATTGTCAAATATTGTATTATATATAGCTACCATCAATTCTGGTTAATCTTACATTATAAACTAATACGATTGCGAACTATGGGGCAGTACCATGAAGTTTCCCAAGTTGTGTTTATCAACCTTGACACGGCGTCACAGTGATGGGCCAACTAACTCTAACAGCTTTTAAAGGGGCCTCTAATACTAGTATAACCATTACACTTATGGCCCAAGTGACAGTTATAAATGAAAGGAGATAATTCCTAAAACCAAGGTTATATGTATATATATATATATACATACATACATACATACATATGTATGTATCATTATAAGCCCATTTATAACTGTTAGTTGGTCCATAACTGTGTAGTGAGATACAAGGCGAATAGTCTGGTAAATGCTAATGACCTCGCCACGACTTGATTGGAAATGATGGTGAAAGTCAATGGGAACATTGTAATTCATCCAGATTCAGAAAATATTGTATATGTAAGCCATGGTAAACCAATCATGTAATATATTCTAATAATCCAACGGCTGGTATTCATTTTCCCCATGGAATATATGGCATGAATCCATGGAAACAAGAACTGGCTTGACAACTGTTTCCTACATAGGTAAGTGGGAAGTAAATCAAAGTAAATATATATATATAATATACACATACATATATATAGCTGCAAGACTTCTTTCACAATATGGGGAGGAATACCTACAATCATGGACCCCACAATCATCCAACACTTGTCACGTTCAGCAGGAAAACCAATGGTGATAAAGTGTCCCCATTTCATCCCATTTCAGAAATCCTTAATATTGAGAAACCAATGGTATCCCTTATCTGGACAAAGCCACAGCCGAAAAAGCGGCCGGCGACGCCGTGCGCCATGTCATTATCTACCTGTAATACCGCACAAGGCGGTGGCGGAAGTTTTAAAGATAGACAACTATAGGAGAGGTGAGTTGTTCTGATGCATGGATGGTAGAGCGAATCCGCTGATGGACCGAAAGGTGGTTGGAGTTGTGCTTTTTGGAGTGGTTTCAGTGGTCACCTCACCCACAACTGCTGAATGTTACGTGGTGTGGTGTTATGTAGTTGTAGTTTGCAGCTGTAGTTGTAGTGTAGTGGCAGTTGCAGTTGCAGCTGTAGTTGTACTGTTGTTCAATGTAGTTGCAGTTGTAGTTGTAGTTGTAGTGTAGAGTAGTTGTAGTGTAGTTGTCGTGTAGCTGTAGTGCAGTTGTAGTTGTAACTGTAGTAGTAATTGTAGGTGTAGTTGTAGTTGTAGTTGCAGCCGTGGTGGAAGCGGTAGTTAAGTTTAATGTAGTGGTAGTTGTAGCTGCAGTTGTAGTTTTGGAAGTAGTTGTAGTTGTAGTGTAGTGTAGTGGTAGTGAGTTGTAGTGTAGTTGAAGTTGAAATTGAAGTTGTAGTTGTAGTGTAGATGCAGTTGTAGTTGTAATGTAGCGTAGTGTAGTTGCAGTTGCCTATCTATCTGCCTATCTGTTTATCTCTCTATTTGTCTATCTCTCTGTCTGTCTACCTATCCATCTCTCTGGCTATCTATCTGTCTATCTGCAAACTTGAAGACGAAGCTATTCTGCGAGACATCCTTAATTTTATGAATATCTTTGAGCCTCTAGCAGGGACAGATGATTTTAACTATGTTATCATTTTGTTCATTTCCTTTATCATTTTTTCCATCAATATTATCCTTGTATTTGTAGTCGCCAAATGTACTTTCATTTTTTCACCAATATTATCATTGAATTTGTACTCACCAAATGGATATTCATTTGTTTCATTATTCCCCACCTGCCAGGTGAGGGTTGTTAGATTTTATCACAGTTGTTCTCCTCCTCCTTCCTCCTCCTTCTTCTCCTCCTCTTATCTGAGCTTGAGTGGGCTGGGCATTGTAGGGCTGGAGGTGGAAGAGAAGTTAGGTGAGCTGGCTGGTAGGGCCGGGATGGTGGGGTAGGTGGGCTGGCTGGCTGGTAGGGCCGGGATGGTGGGGGTGGGCGGGCTGGCTGAGGGCCGGGAGCTGGCTGGGCTGGCTGGTCGGGCCGGGATGGTGGTGTGGGTGGGCTGGCTGGCTGGTACGGCCGGGATGGTGGGGGTGGTTGGCTGGGCTGGCTTATAGGGCCGGCATGGTGGTGTGGGTGGGTGGGCTGGCTGGCTAGTAGTGGGTGGGTATAGGTGGGCTGTTTGCTGGGTGAACTCCAAAATTTGGAAAATGTCGGTTTTCCTCGTTTTTTTCATTGTTTTTCATGTTTTTTCATTTTTTCATGTTTTTCCATTTTTCGTTGTTTTTGTTTTCATTTTTTTCATGTTTTGTTTCATTTTTTCATTATTTTCATTGTTTTTTTCATTTGTTTCTGCTTTATCATTATTTTTATCATTTTTTTTCATTTGTTTCTGCTTTATCATTCTTTTTATCATTGGCTGGGCTGGGGCCCGGCTGGGGTAGGCTGGACCGGCTGTGATTTCTTGCTGGGGACACCCTGCTCGTTGCAGCTTGTTCCTGTCTGCTAGCTGCTACCTGCTACGTGTCATTGTCATTTAATTTCTTGTTACTTAGTAGCGATTGATTCTTGATTACCGAAGCTGGTGAGTTGTTTAGTGAGTTACAGCTGGCAGTGAATTATATTTGCATATTTACAGTTAATGTATTTGTATAGTAGGAGTTGATGAAGTAGCAGAAGCAAGTATGCTTGATTATTGTAAACTATGGTACAAATCACAGTTGAACTCAATGACTCAATAACGGTTGTATCCTCTCATGGGGCCCAGCCTCACATTAAATCACTAGAATTAGTAATGAAAAAAATGAAAACTCCAAAAAGAAGGAACAACATATGAAAAAAATGTAAATATCTATGATAAAAATGAAAACCAAAATGAAAAAATGATAAAATAACTAAACCATCGATTTCCAGAGTAAGGCTGGCAGAGATTATCATAACCTTGACTTTTCAACTTGACAACATCAAAAACGCAATAGTTCTGCGAGACTTACTCAATTTCCAAAGTTGACAGCATCAAAAACAACGAAAAACGGCGAGACTTCCTTCAAAAATGGAAAGTCGAGTGCAAAGCTGACGGCCTCGTACCAATGCGTTTTGCAATTGTTCCGATCCATCTGCCTAAAGTACCTGCGCCTGCCACGAAAAAGTGAGGCCAGGTCATACGAAGTGCTGCACCTGTGACGCAAAATCATCTTAGCAAACTTGAATATCTGAGACACCAAAATGCAACCCCTCTCACGAAATCAGTGCCCTGACCTCCTAACATCTGTGATAAACATGTCTCTTGTACTGCGCCTGCCACGCGAAATGTATCTTTGCAGATCCTCTTCAAATGTCCCACCCTCGCCAACGTTTTTTGTCAGTGCTACAAAACTATGACATTTTTCTCTTGCTTGGGAAGGTGCAGAATCCTTTGCGCTTACCGCGCAAAACCATATCCTAACCTGAAAAAGTGCTCCGAGACCGCTTTTGACTTCGAAATGTGCTTCGCGCCACAGCGGCGTGCACCTTTTGAACATCTCAACTTCCAAAAGTGCTCCGAGCACGGTGTGCTTTGTACATTTTGACTTCGAAATGTGCTTCGCGCCACAGCGGCGCCACAGCGGCGTGCACTTTTTGAACATCTAAACTTCCAGAGGTGCTCCAAGCATGGTGTGTCTTGTACATTTTGCCTTCCAAATGTTCTTCGCGCCACAGCGGCATTCACTTTTTCGACATCTCAATTCCTAAAAGTACTCCGAAGCTGAGGTGCTTTGTACCTTTTGACTTGAGTTTGCGCCACAACGGCGTGCAACTTTTCATCTCTCATCTAGCCAGATGGCTCCGCACCCGCCGCTTTAGCGAGCCTACTTTTCGACCCTCCGGAGCCACAAATCTGCGGAAAAAACACTGTGCTTCGCAACGTTGCTACCTTTTCTTTCGCGCACCTGCATCTTCTCTCTTCTGCCGCTTTCTCTTCGCTGATCTTCTTTCCTCTTCTCTTCTCTTCTCTTCTCTGACTCTTCCCACCTCTGCTTTTTCCTCTGTCCATGTTGTCGGAAGTTTGACTTCTAAACTTCCTTCGGCTATCAATTTTTTTGACAATTGGAATCTGTTGAGAGTTCTCTTAGCAAATGGTTTTGGTGACTGCGGAGCAGATGAAGGGTCTGGGCATTGGTTCCTTGGAATCCAACCAGGCCAACAAGAGACACAAGCCGGAGTCCAATGGCAAGGGCAAGGGCAAAACGGCACGGTCGACCTCACAGGAGACAGTGAAGGTGAACAAGGACACCCTCACATCTCTGACGCGATTGGTGCTCAAGGACGAGGATTGCAGGACTTAGAATTTCTTCTGCACATGTCTCCCGGAGCGGGATCGATTATCCCGGTGCTGCTGCAGCTACAGAAAAGTCAGGAATGGCATCAGGGGAACAAGGAAGTGCCTTTACGCCATGTGCTGGCGACAACAATGATGAAGACACTCGAACACAGACTGGCCACTCTTTTTGCAGCAGAGCCAACGACCGAGCTCTACAAGGAGCGAATGGAGAACCACCTGATCACGAACGGGGCGGAAAGAACCATGCCCTTTTTGAGATGGGATCAGACCAAGCAGTGTCTCGTGCCCAACCACACACCGGGCCTGCCTGCATAGGCGGTGCTGAAGGCATTGGCCAGCATCATCCGCCTCATGGAGGATCCCGGAGTCACCTTGAGATTCCATGCGTTGAAGCCGCAGCAAGAAGGCCAGAAGATCGAATCACTTGCTACAGCCGTATTAGCCTCCAACAAATTGACATAGAGATGCAACATATACCATCTGTGCATTGTGCACCGAATGCATTTTTCCCAGATCTATGTTACTTTAGCTCCGGGGGCGGAGACTGCCTCCATGTCGGTTTCGTTGCGGTTCACCGCATCATGATGGACAGTTTCATGTCGGGAGGGTTTGATGTATTGGAATCCTCCCACCAGCTTCCAAATCTAAAACCCCATAGTGTCCAGTCAATGACATTGATATATATATATATACAATACATTCACACATACATGCAGGCTAAAATAGGATTATATGTCAGAGAAACATCTTGAACTCCCTTCTTTTCATTGTACAGCTGTTGATTGAATATCCGGGCCATTTCTTGCAGGGTGGTGCCCCATAATTAGCTAAGTAGGTTTATAAGTCCAATAACTATGGTTTATAGGTGATATATCTATAGTTAATGGGATTATAACCCATTTATAACTGGGAGAGGCACCACCTTGTGGTGCTTACATGATTGTTTGGACTACTTGTTGCAGCGATTTACCAATGAAACATGGAGGCTCAAATAGCCCAACAAGCCTGGTTTCCCATTCAGATGTAATGAGTTGACACAGAATGAAGATTGGATCCTTTGAAATGGATCATTAAAACCAGCGAAAATTTGGATTTGGCCAGTTAAAAAAATGATTGGTGATGGGGAAAGTGATTGGAATAATGACTCAACCTCTTGGTGATTTAAACACTCTGTTTTGGATTTGGCAATAGTGTAGAAAGTGTTGGTGATGGGCGGATTGGATTTACAAAAGGTACAGTTTTGCGAAAGTAGCGATGAACCAATTGACTTTGTGGATGCACCTGTTTTCGAGAAACCCAAACGTGACTCCTGTTTGTTTAATACAGTCAAGTTGATTTATACTTATATATCTCCCCGTTGTATCCTCGTCATCTTGAAGCCAGCAAAGGGAATGTTTGCGCCAATCAATTTTCATTTAGTTTGGATGGTTTGAAACCACCACGTGGTGAACTAGTAATTAAAGCATTTACTGCATACGAATTGGATCCGCATTTGAAGATAATTGCTTGATAGGTAAAACCATCGAATCCAATGATACGTGCTTGATGTTGTTTGGCCTCCGACGAATTCCATAAGATCGTCTCTACATGTGCCATGGTCAAAGTTGGTTGATTTTTCCCATAGAAGGAGAGTGTGGTCCCCCAATGAAAAATGATGGTTTGATACAAACCATGATAAGGAATCCCTACAATGGGGGGCCCTCCAGTTCCAAGTTTTTCTCATTCCCATTAACTAGTTCACTGTATCCAATCGTTCATTTACTTATATTTCAACCAACTTAGCAAACAAGCTGGGGGGACCACTTTGGAATGACGGCGGGATGACCATACCCAAGCAATCCCATGTTCAAACCATAGCACATATGATGACTCTCATAGGACACGAAGCGGTTTTATTGTCCTCCCTGGGAGAGCGAGGCTCGCTACATCAGACATACCTGAGGGAAGCATCAAAATTAAAAATCGGTTGATGACCCTTAGATAATCAATCCTCAAGTGGATGGTACCGTCTATAACTTGGGGAAAGCTCCACTTACCAACCAGAAAGTAATGGTTCTACGATGGGATTCTAGCCAGCAAAAGTGGGAATGTTCACCAGAAAGGCATGGGTTTACAGAAGATCTGCAAGGTGTAAATATCATTTCACACTGCACACAGCAACATCACCCCGCACAAACGTTCCAATCTACCTTCTCACGGTTGTCACACGCAGCGATGAGGCCTTCCCTTCGATCAACTGGTGGGCATGCCTGTGTTTGGGTCGTTTTGCTTGTAAATCTAGATTGTTTGTGAGTATAGGGGAAAGAACCATAGCCAGAAACTAATCCGGTTGATGCCAATCTTGGCCAAAAAAAAATTGGGTCCTACTGCGTGCCACGCAGCGATGCCCCACCTGCGACCAAGGTTGCTATGGCTGGGCAGCAGCGAAGCTCCCAGGTGCCCATGTGGAACTACTGCACGATTTGCTGATTCATGGATCTTTGCAGCATGCGGGCGTGACACCAAAAGAGGTGTCCTTTTTTTTCTGCATTTGTTTGTCCTATTTGGGCGACACGGCCATGTGGTTGCACGATTTCCATGGCTGCACAATCACCGAAACTACGGTATCAAGTATAAAACACGATGTGCTTGAGATATCATGTCGCCAGCAGTCTTTGAGTCGCGCAGACAAACCCAACAACACATGTTGCATGGGCAGGCAGGGACCTGTGGTTGGCATCGGGGCATCGCCGCTGAAACTGCCTGGGTCCAACTCCTTTGGGGGTTTGAGCCGCTTGGCGGTGAAAACGGACCCCTCATACCCTCTGGTAAACATACACAAAACTATTGAACATGGCCATTTATAGCCGATTTTCCCATGAAAAATGGTGATTTTCCATAGTTATGTTAGTTTACCAGAGGGTATGTGTCACGATCAAGAAATGGTTGGGGGCCTGTTTGACAAAACTGTAACCGAATAATCCCAGGATGTGAAAGTGGGTGAGAACCATGTGGTAAACCAGTTGTATATGGAAATATTCCTGGTTTTATCATGGATTTGGATGAATTGTAATGACCTCACATCGCGACCTCACTGGAAACATGGTTGGTAGAGGTAACTATCCCAACATGTTTTCTTTTCAGTTTTGTGAAATATTGTTATTATATATATATACATTTAGTTTTACCCCCATCGTAAATGAACTAATCTAGATGGGTCATGAACGAATTCCTAACTGCCATCGTTTTGCGAGGTTGGATTTGGTCCACCTATGTGGAGAGTCTTCATGACGCCGGGGCCCGCGTGGTACCGTTGCTTCCGCAGGCGTGGCCTTTGCAGCCACCGAAGATTTTGGTCGTTTTGATGGCTTTAAGGTGTATTTTCATCGTGGATTAATCAAGATCAACCAAAGAGAATGTGACAAAAGAGGTATTCCAGTATCAAGAAAGAGGTTAATGGCTTTACCAAACCATAAACTATGCTTAATTACCTTAATTTGATGTTATTTGACCATTTGGTGGATTGCACCTTAAGCTTCAAGACATTGAATTTCACTTGCAACACCAATGGCCAACTGGTTTTTCGTATGATCTCCCAACGTCGAGATCGGAGTATCGGATCAACAACTGGGGTCGCCCAAAAAAAAAGGTTGTTAAGTTAAGTCCGAAGACCTTTTGGGTTTGTAGATGTTTTATGATGTTTTTTGTGTTTAAATTTCTGACATATCCGATTGTGGTCTGGACTACTATAATGATCTATAATGGGGTGTTTATGTTAAAAAGACATGTTGGCGCACAGTTTTTTAGGGCGTGGCCATCACTCTGATTGGTTGCGTTGTTTTCGTTGTTTTTGTGTTGTCGTTGTTTCCGCATGTTTGCCGTTGAAACATATGTTTGATTGTATATAATGTGTCACAGCAACAGACATTTACATGTTTTGTTGGTTCAATCCCCTTCTGCTTAGGATCATTTCCATTTTCCATGTGCAAAACCTTTGTTTTTTGGTCACCGTCTAAAGCAATCGTTCTGAATTCCGAATCCATTGTTTTAGACATGTAAATTCATTGCGTGATTAATTCACTGCGTTTTGTTTTGTTTTTAATATATACAATATGTTTGTTGAGTATAGTATATAGTATATATATATATCACCTTTGAGTTTGGTTACATCTCCATTTCTGATAGGTGTTCACCAGCATTGTTGCTGGTTAACTCTCTAGTTTCGAAATCTCCCATGTTTGATTGTTAAACCTTAAATGATGAATCATTTGAATTTGCCTGTTGAATCACAACATGTTTGAAACAACATCTTTTCCAGAATTGGATGAAGGGAACATTTACAGGATTTTGCTTCGGAAACCCCCATCGTTGATGGTTTAAACATGTAAAATCCATGGTTTCCGATAATTGTTCCCTTCAATCCATCCATAGAAACGACGGTTCCGATGCTCTACCAGGCAGGACGTGAAGTCCTGCTTGAGACCTTGCAACATGTGGACGCTGTCCTATGGACAGGCGTCATTGGAATGGTGTATGGGGAAAACTAGTCCCTTCCCCCATATTAAACACTCCCTAAACGAAACCATGGTGGATTGTAGGGAAATTCCACATCATTGGGATCATGATATCAGGGGGTGTTTAATATGAACGGGTGATGGGATTAGTCCAAAATAGGTTCATGTCAGTTTGCTGACATACTGTGGATGGTTGCGAAATCCTGCGCCACCGAAAGGACGGTTGAACCCCTATAAATAATCGGATGTTTACCACCGTCATCAACTGGTGCGGGATTTCTATCCACCGTATTACAAGCGAGCCAGATGAATGTGGAAACCCCCTGGTTATATAAACCTGTTAGGAAAATGATCTACATTTAAGGCGGTCTTTTCCACATCTATATGCTCGTAACTAAGTAGGGTAAGCTTTTTTGGGGCTAGAAACATGTGCTGTTGAGAGACCAAGAGCCACATAGAGATTCAACGTGTTCAGGCAAGGAAAGTAAAACCCACAGAATGGGGATATCAACCAAGGAATCCGGACAGAGATGACCTATACCAAAGCTGGGTAAGGATTGAACATCAAAAATGCTTTAGTCTGACTAGCAGCATATGGATTTGATCAATTTTGATCATGAAGCCAGAGATTTTTACTGGCTGGTGAAGGTTAGTTCAATACAATTTATGTTGTTTCTCATTTTGATGGGGATATTACCAAGCAGCTTTTTTGTGGACATGCAAGGCCGGGGCCAGGTATCTAAGATTGGCCATGTTTCCGATGGTGAGGTAAACCCAACTAAATAGCATCCGTGTGTTTATTCAGTTCAATTGTCAAACTACTACCGTAGGTACTCGTATGGTTTGTGCAGCATTATTTGTTTACTTTAATATGTAACATACATGTATACAGTCAGGTTGAAATGATTCTATTTTTCGTAAAGTGGGAACTGTCCAAAACTCAGAGTGATGCTTGTATACTGGAGATTATGCAAGTATTGTGAGTATGTTTCAATATACATAGATGCAATGAGGAACAGCGGGAAGGATTTTGATATGGGGTTTGACCATTCATCTACGTGTTGGGTTTTCTTTCAGCATTCGTGATACCTATGGATGAAAGCGCGCATGTTTGCATGGGAACTGCCCAAATTCAAGTTGATTTACTGTCATCATCCAGTTTTGTTTCTTGAAAAAGTAAATATTTGTACAAGATCAATGTGTATTGTGTACATATATCAATTTGCTGTTGGTTGTATAAATCTAATCTTTGGGTTGCTGCGTATCACTATATATATATATATATATATACATCCCAGAAGAGCAAAGTTACTCGTTTCACAGGCCTTTAGAAGGCCACAACCTGGCAATTTTTCAAGTTATGAATACAGGTGCATCTGATCTTAAGCGAAAGCATGATTTTTTTTGTGAGGGGGTTGACAAACTTCAAGGTGTCGGCTGGGGTTTGCCCCTTGGGAGACGATGGAGCTTGAAGAGCCAGTGCTCTTCGTCAAGATGTGCTGGCCATGGGCCAAGCTTTCTTGGACATCACTGATCGCTGGATACAGAGCTTTCCGCAAGCCCGCGCCGCCTCGACAACATCAGCAGGAAAGCTATGAGATGCTTATTTTGGGGTGCTGTGTGGTCATCGACCCCTACGAACATAGATGTGGAAAACCCACCATTTTTAGATCATTTTTCTAAGGAAAACATGGGTTTTCCACATCGTTGTTGCTTGTCCTTTTCTGATTAGTTCATATTAGTTCTGGGTGATCCACAGGCCACTGACATGACTTGCTACTCCACACCATGCGATGCACCACACTGAGGTTGATTGGTCAATAAACCTGTGAATTGTAGATATGTGTGTTACCCTAATGAACTATATGTTATAAACCAACTTATCCAAAGAACGGGGACACCGCTTTGTAAGGATCACAATAAGCAGTGACAGGAATCTGCATGTGGGAACCGCGTCGACTACGTAGCTATGATAGGTATATCATTTAAATTATAGTAGTGATTCATGTCATGTAATCAAAGCAATTTCCCATGATTATAAGTGATGCTTAAAGTAAATATTTTTTGGTACGAGCTCAGCATATCGTGAGGAGATGTGAGGAGTTTTCCCCAATTTTTCCTTGCTTAAATTCACACTGTCGAGTACAAAACGCAAAAAAAACTCCGTTTTTGTTGGTCAAAACTTTAAGTTTGATGGATGCTCCCACTATTTCAATGGGTAAATGCACTATTTCAATGGTTAAATCCCCCATTTCTGTCTGGTTTAACAGAGTTGCTGCTTCGCTATCGTTATCGGCAGCCAGGTTCCCAAGAGGTTGGCCAACTGATCGAAGAAACCCGCCCCATGTCGTTCCGCAACTTCCGATAGAAAAGTAATTTGCTACTCAAGTAGTTGTGATAAATCACATTTCTACAATTTTTTGGGGGGTAAAATAAGTCAATGTCTGTTCAACCTGCATCTTTCTTGCTTGAAACCTACCCATCGTGTTGCTCAGGCGGAGAGGACGCCAAGGGCTCTGTGGGTGCCTTGAATTCCTGGTGTACCCCATCCAAAGGAAGGATGCATCCAAACCAAAACCAATCATTTTTGTGGGATATCATATATGTGTATATACTGGTTGGTGGTTTGGAACATTTTTTTATTTTTCCATTCAGTTGAGAATAACAATCCCAACTGACTTTCATATGTTTCAGAGGGGTGGCTCAACCACCAACCAGATATATATATATATATAACGGGATTTTTTTTGGGTGAAGTGTCATCCAAACCAGAAAGACTGTTTTTTTGGGGGGGGACATGGGGATTGGTTAAAACCTATTGTTACCATACATGACTGGGGGAATAAATATGCATTAACCAGCTATTTTAGGGTACCATCCGGGTACCAGGGTTTTGACCCAAAACCATATCATATATAATGGGAATACTTTTGGGTGAATTGTAATGACTTCACATCGCGACGTCATGTTGGAAATGATGGTCAAAGAATGTTTATCAACCAGCCAGTATAAGCAAGGTATGTGAATCAGGTTTGGGCATCTAATGTTGCAAGATGACTACAAGCAGATTCAATATCTATAAAGATCAGGTCATACTACCCTCCGGAAATCGAACATTGCTAGCTGGGAAATCCCCGAACTAAATGTGTATATATATATATACATAGCTTTAAGATTGAAAAACACATATATTATTTCAAATAAAGGTCTAAGTCACCATGTATAGATGATTTTCCACTTGAAACCACCAGTTCAACTATCAAAAACGTGATTTAATTATTAGTTAAACAGTTAAACATTATAGATGATGGTTCCAATAATCTCCAATTCCTGTTTAGTTGGAAATATCATCTACAGTTCCGGCCCAACTCACAGTTATAAATGGAATGAGATCACTCCTACAACGAAGGTGAAATATATCATGAAATAAGCCCATCACTAAAACTGTTAGTTGGGCTAGAACTGTATAATCCTTAGGCTTACTAGTTGAACAAATCATCTACAATGTGGGGCCTGTAGTCAGTGATAAGTTGGTTTATAACCCCATCTAACTAGTTCGTTAGAACTACCATAATAAACCCAAACGTGAAACTGTACTTATGTTCACCAACTTAGCTACCGGACGGGGGCCCCACATTGTAGGATAATATATATATATATAATATGATATTTAATGGAATGATGATCATGAATTACAATAGTATATTACAATGGTACATCACTATACTTGTTAGTTGGGCCATAATTTTAGAAATCATTGTTTCTTGCTTATAGTTTTATACCCATGTTTGATGGTTCATATCCGATATATGATCTCTATTCCCCACCAAACCCTCCATCAAATCCCATTATATAAATCCCATTTAATCGCCATATGGTTATAAGTCATATAGTATACACTACAGTTTATATCACTATACTGGTTTATACAATGCTATAAATCAGGCTTTTTCCAGCATGCCAGTCTGCAGTCTGCAGGACGATTCTGGCGTCCATGGAGCCTCCTACCCTGACGTCATGATGGATGCCCTGCAGGCGGAGCTTGGGGATTAAGAGCCAATGAATGGTTAATAGTGGTTTTAATCATGGTTAATAATAGTTAGTAACGGTTATAACGGTTAAGATTGGCTAATAATGGTTATAATAATGGTTAATAATGGTTCATGATGGTTAATGATGGCTATAATAACGGTTAACAAAGATTAATGATGGCTGATGATGATGATGAATCTTCAGTGAAGGGTACCATGATGATAATAATGGTACATATTGAAAATAATGGCTGAAGGGTACCCTTTGGTAAACTAACATGGAAAATCATGGAAAATCATGGAAAATCATATTGTCTATAGGTAAATCAACAAAATCAGTGGGTCATTGTCCAGTTCTGTTCGTCTACCGGTTCTCCAGTTCGGTTCTCCAAGGTCATTGGAAAGTCCATGATTTCATGGTTCCCATCCATTGAGTTTCTACTGTAGTGGATAAACATGAACAGAAAGATTGGAAAAGACGGGAAAACAAGTTATAGCTGAAGATTTCATGAAAAACATGTTGGGAAATTAATCAAGAATAATTTCGTTGGTTCAATGGAAAGTTCTGTAAGAAACTATTATGTCTACCAACAAGCACAGGAGAGTTTGATGGATTGTCGTGGAATCCAATTCGCTGCTCAAATTCAAGTCCGCTTGGCTTCGTGCGTGATGGCTATGATATGGAGAATGCCAGAGAATGTTAACCACTTTGAATAATGACCTATGGTTATCAAAACCTTATGGATCCTCCTTGTGTTAGCATGTGTTAGCAACTTTTGCTTCGGGGAATCGTTGTTTGCAGTACACATCCCAGTCGCCTCCCAGGCAATTTATCAGCACGTGTCGAAGACGTCGTTGCCCTTGCCGCTTGGCTCTTACATTTGCCACATAGTCGACAGAAGTTCATGTGGGTGTGTTTGAACATGTTTCGCATACCCCGATTTGTATTTGTTTCAGCGAAAAGATGATGAATCGCTGGATGGGGTAGCATGGGGTAGCTAGTTTCATTCAAGGAGGTCCAAGGGTTGATGTCCATCTTGAGGGGCCCCCTGTTAGAACTAATTCGATGCATCTACCAACGACCGAGTGACTTTGTGAAATGTCAGTGAACAACACCAGATTAGCTAACATAAATCACATATCATATGAGTCACATATACAGTAATTCACTAATATAATCCACTAATATACATCACGTATAAATCACGTTTAACAAAAAAGTATCAAATCACGTACAGGATGGTGCCCCCCAGTGATGTGAACGTTGGTTTATAAACCCCATTAACTATAGTATTATAGTTATATCTGCCATAAACCCAAACGTGACTTATGGGACTGATAAACGCACACAGCTCGTGCAAAGCATGGTGAGTCCAACCTGGGGGCACTGTTTCAACGGACGTGTTGGATTTCCCCCTCGGGACGTGTTGGAAATGTATCGTTGTGATTTGTTGGGGTTACCCTCTGGTCAAATTACTATAAATGGGCCACAGAACTATGGAAAATCACCATTTTTGTTGATTTTACAAAGTTATAGTTTTCTAATCCTTACCCTCTGGTAAACTAACATAACTATGGAAAGATCCACCATTTTCAATGGGTACATCCACTATAAATGGGACATTTTCAATAGCTATGTTAAATTACCAGAGGGTAATGTGGGTTAATGTCAACCCAAAAATTTATGATGCGACAAAAAACTGGGAGCCTTTTTTATAGACTGAAGCTGGTTGGTGGTGACTGGGACCATGGAATTTTAGGACTTTCCCATCATATTGGGAATGTCATCATCCCAACTGATGAACTCATATTTTTCAGAGGGGTTGAAACCACCAACCAGGAAGGTTTCTTAAGTGTATATAGGTAAATATGAAAGACAAGCCAGTCAAGGTTTTCCGACAGAAGCTGTGTGGCGTTTGCATTCAAGGTATCACATTGTTGGTTACATATTCTTTTTTGTGTTCCATGAAATGGCCAGATTACCCTCTGGTAGATTAACTTGTTGACCCTGAAAATCACCAGCTTTTAGTTGTTTCACTAATCTTCCAACTCCTATCTGCCAGGTCGAACTGTTAATTTACTGGAGGCTAACTTGTTGACTTCCAGATGTTAGGGCAAAATCGCCAGTTTCTACCAAACTGTCCTGATGTTTGTGTCATACCAAACTGTGACGAATAAAACAAGGTTTTTGGTCCTCCCCATCATATTTAATTATATATATATATATACACATAATAATCCTTATTTGCTGATGGTTATCCCATTAGAGACTGATGTTCTCTGGTCCCCAGAGAACAGGTGTTCGCCAAACAGGGATGTGACCGAAAAGCGTATAAGAAAGTTAAAGTTTTGTTGACTTTACATTTCTGGTTCTTTAGCAGGTCTGACCCCGATAGATGTGACAAACGTTACGGATATGTTATATATATATATATACACATATGTATAATTTATACTATGTATATATTTTATTATATATATCATATGTGAATGTACATTGTGTTCTTTTGTGTAAATACTTCCTTGATTCACGACACGTGAATCATTTGCATTCCTGATTTTTCCAAGGGTGAGTTCATCGGGTCACCATCCTGAAAGAGAAGGGCCATAACTGTTAAGGGCCATATCAAGGGGATATCATGGGGATATCATGGGCATATATCAAGGGGATATATCATGGGGATATCAAGGGATATCATGGGATTTCATGGGGATATCATGGGGATATCATGGGGATATCATGGGGATATCATGGGGATATCATGGGGATATATCAAGGGGATATATCATGGGGATATCAAGGGGATATCATGGGATTTCATGGGGATATCATGGGGATATCATGGGGATATCATGGGGATATATCATGGGGATTTACCTGAAGACCGCATGCGCAAGAGCGGGTAGTACAGCGCGCAAGCAAGCAAATCCATAGTGACCTATTGCAACCGCTTCGGAGAGGCACTGGTAAGGCTATAAATGGGTTGTTGATTAAACATGCTAAAAGGATGACCGCCGGATGATCCTCCAAGTGCACTTCGATTCGTGTGTGTGCGTGGGATTTGAACCCGCATTTCCCGTTTAGGAATTAGAGAAATAACATATATATAGTTGACTATAGATCCATAAATATGTACATATATATACACGTACATATATATATATATATATCAGTTATATATATATACACGTACATATTTATATATATATATATCAGTTATATATATATATGCATATATAATATAATATGGTCTTGTATATATATATATCCATATATCTGAATATTGCACATTTTTCTGTTAGGTAAATCCCCATTAAATCCAATTATACCCATGATATCCTTGATGTCCCAGGATATCCCCATGATATCCTATTATTTGTCTTTACAGTTATGGCCCTTAACAGTTATAAATGAAATCATACCTCCCACAACTAAGGTGAAATATAAATATATCATGAACTTTTGAAATATACCCATTTATGACTGGGCCATACAGTTATGGCCCTTAACAGTTGTAATTGGGCTTATTTCATGATATTTAACCTCATTTGTAGGATTGATTTCATTCCATCTATAACTGTTAGTTGGGCCATAACTGCATTAACCTATATTGGGTTATGTATTATCACTGGGAGATTTATGTAGGTTACAACATGTATTATAACTGCACCATAAATAGTTTTAGATCCATTATATATCCCATAACTGCTGTATAAATCTGTTCTTATAGGATTTATAACTGTTGTAATTTAACATAGCCATGGTAGTCATGGCCCTAATCGAAATAGATGGTTTACCTGTCTTTACCTATTAAATTAAACATGGTGATTTTCCATGGCTATGCTGGTTGGTGGTTTGGAACATTTTTGATTTTCCATCATTTATGGGATAATCCTTCCCATTGACTTTCATAATTTTCAAGATGGTTAAAACTCACCAGTAATCTCAATATAATCCTATTATGTTAAATAACCGGAAGGTAAATCCGAAGCAAACGAAACGCTGGCAGCGCCAGCGTTGTGCGCAGGTGGGCCACCTGCCAGGGCTTCCAGGCCTTGTGCGTCTTAGCCTCGCAAGATCCATCGGTGGTACCTCGCTGTGTGTCACCGAAACGGGGAGCCTCGGGAGCCATGAAAATACCTGGGACTTGGGGAGTTTTATGGGATGTGATTCAGTGATTGGTTGTTTTTCTGGGGATTCTGGATGTTAATGAGATTTATTTTGATCTCAAGTGGGTTGAATGTAATTGTAGTGGGATGTTAATCGGATTTCAATGGGATTTAGTGGGATGTTAATTGGTTTTGAAAAGGATTTAGTGTGATTATAATCATGTGATAGAGGTTTTAACCATCATGAACATATAGGCGTAGAAGTGGATATGATTTGCAACTGATGGTTTTTCAACTGCTGCATGTTTTTTGTTGGAATTTCACGACCAGTTATGACAAGCATGAGGTGTTAACTATCATAGATATGCAGATGTAATTGAGCAATCACGGTTGTACCACATCCCTCATTTGTTGTGGATAAAAACACATGGAAACCACGGTAATTGGAGGTATGAAGCCCGAGTACGATGATTCTGATATGTTATCATATTTTTTTATCTGATTGGTGGTTTTAACTATGTGTATATGTTGTGTTAATCCATAGAATTATAAAGAAATGGGATGATGATCTCCAATGACAAGCATATGTTCAAGGGTCGTTAGAAACCACCACCAACCAGCAAGAACACGGCAGGTCGACTGGGTAAAAAGTTGTACTTTCACCATCAAACAGTTGTTTTAAAAAAAAACAGGTTTGGATTTCTCGAGGATTTAGGTTACCATATGTCAACCTATTCTTAGGTGGCGTGGCGCCGGTCATGACGCAACTCGGACGTCCCAGGGGACCAGGGGAACGACTCAATAGTCAAATTCTTATACCATCAAGTAGATGATTAAGCCACATTAAACCCCACTAAACCTCCATTTCTTGATGGTTAAACCCCACTGAGCCTCCAGCCATTGGGTTCCAACATCTCCATGGGCACCGGTCATGGTACCTTTTTTCGGTGGCCGAGGTGGTTCCAACCTATGGCACCTTGGGCACCGCGGTGTCGCTCCACTTCACCAACGAGGCCTACCAGTCGCGGCTGCTGAAGGATGCCCCGGAGACGGTGCCTTTCCGGCCTGAACAACGATGAACGGGGAAGCACGGAAGCAGCGCCACACCTTGCATCATATGTGATTTAAATGAATTTGAATGGATTTAATATGATATAGTACGGAAAAAGTATAGTGTATTATAGTATAGTAAAGTATAGTATTATATATAGTATAGTATTATATATGTAGTGTGTATATATATGTATAGTATATATATATACACATGTATTGGTGAGGTGCTAACAGCTAGAATACGTTGATGGTTGATATGCTTATGGTGTTTAGTGTTATTCTAACTGCACCTTCAAGCTGATAGCGCCTCACCATGTACATACAACACTAGCACCCCAAAAAAAGATAGAACAGTAGAAGTGGAATCCAATCATAAAACATCATTATTGTTTGTGAAACTATAGCACTTGTGTTCTTTTAATTGTTGTTGTTTTTGATTTATGAATATAAGATTGCATATTGCTTTCTATAGGTAGTTGTTTGCACATAGTATGTGTTTGAGCATACAAATTGATACTGGGTGATTTTTTTGGCGATTCCACATATAGATTGAATATTGTTTGACACATCCATCCATATGTTTTAAAATCAAGCAAAACACATGAAGCAGCAGGCAACTCTACAAATATCATCAAATATCCGTGCAGGAAACACTTTTAATAGAGAAACAACATCTTCATGGTGCATCAGACGATGGCACCTGCCGCTACTACTGGAAGTTGCTGTTCTGACCAGCAGGCCATTCAAAACTGTTCAAGTGTGACACCCCAATTGAATCCAAAGGATATGAAATTAAGGTCGTCAAGCCCACTGTTTGCAGGGAAATGGGAGGAATGCTCAGAATTTTGTACTCATCAAAAATGGAGTGTCCATTGATGCCCGGTTTGCCATAGCCATACTATGGTGAATTCCACGCATATGTTTGTGATTGTTGTGGTATAGAAGAGATTGTATGGTTATATATATATATCATAACCATAATATATTTTCAATTATATTATCAGTATGCAAGTATTTTATCATATTTTATTAGTATACAGGTCGATTATCCTATATGATCAGTATACAGTATATCATGCTTTTTAATCGCCATAGTATATATATATATAATCAGTACACAGTATACCCATATGATCCCGCATGTGAGTTGTTTTTGCCTTGGATATACCAGGTCTTTATGGAGCTCGGGCGACGACACTTGGAGTTAAGGTGACCAAAGAGCCACAGATTTGGATCCGCTGGGGTCTTGCGGTTTGTGTATGGAAAATATAATAATATATATATATCGAATATAATATGTTGAATGATATGATTTATTTATATACATATATAGGTAGAATTTGATATAGTTGTTAATATACAGTATATATTATATTATATTATTTATAGAATAACAGATCAATGGTATATATATATACACATAGAATGTGATATAGTTGATAATATTATATTTAGAATATTATATATATCGTATAATATATGATATATACTGTATATATACATATAATGTGATGTAGTTTATAATATATATATATATAAATATAATATTGTTTATTGAATGTAAACAGTATGTGTATATATAGAAATGTTTGATTGAATAGTATATAATCTTTATAGAATATAGTATTTAGATTAATTTAATATATATATATATATACAATATCAATTGTTGAATAATATAATGTGTATATATATATATGTGTGCGTACATATAGAATATTATCTGTACAATAATTTCTAATATGTGTATATATATTTAATACAATATATTGAATGATTTTTTGACTAATGTATACATACATATATATATATATATTTTAAAAATAGAATATAATATATAGAATAATTTATAGAATAATATACAATCTAAATGGCTCCAACTTGGAAGGTTTGAATCTAGATAAATTGATCATGTTCATATGGGTGTGTCTGAAAATGCGCTGCGCGGTATACCCCCAATTGATGAAGTGTGTTGTGGGTCCTAGCGTTTTACGGTGTTGTTACGTGTGGACTGAGAGCGTTCCTTTCTGAATTTATGGCCATTTTGGGAGTGAAAATGACAAACAATGAGAAACCACTGGAGTCGGAAAGTTGTCCCCTAAACTTTTGAGGTACCCTCTGGTAAACTAACATAGCTATTGAAAATTGCCATTTATAATTTATAATGGATTGTCCCATTGAAAATTGTGATGTTCCATAGCTATGTTAGTTTACCAGAGGGTATCAAACCCATGTTTGGCATCGGAACATAGCAGAAACTGTTGGATGTTACATCGGCGGGAGCTTGGGTGAAGGCCTTTTTGCAGGTGAAACTATGTCCATGCGAGGGCCACTACGCATGGAACTTTCTTGTAGACCATGTGTTTTTGTTGGGGACACATCATATGGGACAAAACCATATGATCCCATAAAGGTAGAACATCATAAAAATGACATGGATCCATATGGATCCTATTTTGTTTGTTGCCAGGTTGATAAAATTGATAAAAATGATTTTGTTCCTCCTATGTTCTATAGTGTTTTATGGTAAAACTGACAGAAATTGGTGTCCCTGCTATTTTATAATTGTTCAGAACTGTTATGTTTTTGCTTTCAAGTATCATGCTACGTATAGCCTTCATGCTTTTTGTTGTAGGGCAGTGGATCACCTACAGTATGCCATTATCCGTGTGGTTCTATTCCCATTGTTTTTTATTTTTATGAATATCCATTACAATGCTGTAGAATCATGCATATGTATATATATATACATATACACAATATACATAGATATCTTAGATGCACCATATTTCAAGAAGTACATGTTGACAACAACCCCAATTATATAAACTCATTATCCTCCAGATGTTTTCCAACTCTCGGTGTTCTTAGCTCTGGCTGTTCCATAGCCTTTTTTTCGTCGAGGAAATTCCACGCTGAACTTTCACTCCTTTGGCGTTCTGACTGAAAGCTTTCAGCACGTCCAAGGTTTTCAGGTGCTGTGATGGGTGATGGGTTACCCGACGCTTACGCCTTTAGCAAGCTGTGAAGGTTGACTTGCAAACAGAAAAACCATGTTGGTAATCTCCAAACATTGGGGTTTAACCATCATGACATGGTTGTATCCAAAAAATGATTGGGACACCAAACTGTTTGGTATACGTTTGGTAAAATCATTTAGTCCCGCGTTCCAGCAAGGTTAGCGATGAACCCGCAGGAAATCCCGGCTGGTAACAAGGTAACCTTGGCAGGCAGTGTGATGGAAATTGTTAAAGGTTTTTCACAATGGATTCAGTGTTTTCATGGATTTTGGTCACAATCTGTTCATTTCCTTCGGGGAAGCATTGACAGCTTGACAGCAACAAACCATCCAATGGATTGGCGGTTTTGACACTGCAACCCTGTTTTCATCCAAAGTTGGCTGGAAAAAAGTATGTTCTATGTATACTGTATATTGCTGTCCTTCTCAGAAACTGCGAAATTGATCCCCGAGTCATTTTTCTCAGTGTTGAAACCACCATCAGTGTGGTAAATTCTGTCTATTTGAATCTATCTGAATCTATCTAGTTTGGCTTACCTCAGCCATTTCATGTGGATTTATATCCCGATGTTCTTTAAAGTCGCAGAAAACCCTCAGTGTGGTTGAAATCACCACCAGCAGCTTCGCGCCGTCGCCAGGTGCTTGCAACGGATGTCGATTCCCATGGCCAGGTGCATACATCAACTGGTTTTTTCCATGGTGTAACCATCCATTTCAATGGTTGGAATGGGATATATCGGATATATTGAGGTAAAGCAAATCCAGTGATGACAAATCGAATCTGGACCTGGATCATTGCGATATTTGAGTTCACTTTGCGCGGTAACTTGGTGGATCATTGTCAATGATATCTGGTGGATGAACCATCGTTCTATGAACAAATTCTCCAATGAAAATAACCATGATACCCATGTGAAAACCATGTTCACAAAGGCCGTTAGACATGTTTGTGACATTTTTCCCTTCATCAAAAGCAGGTGTTACTGGCCGTAACTATAGTTTTTGCCTGGATTTGTTGGATTGATTTTTATTGGAGAGTGTGTTGTGTTTTTGCTTTACCCTCTGGTTATTTGTTGCACGGCGCAGTGGATTACTGGTGATTTTTCATGGTGATATAGATGAAATTACTTGATCAACTCCTCACCTTGTGCATGAGTATCTATGACAGTTGTACCCAATGACTGTAAAGTGTACATACTATCATAATGTCATTTGGAGTCAACATGGAATAGACGGTTCAATACGTTATCGAGCAATGATAACATGTTCTGTTATCCTGAAATCCGGGGGTAAACAACAAACTACTTGGCTAATTACATTTGGCTCAAGATGCCCGCATAATTACTTTACTGCGTGTGATCCCCACCAGGACATTTATATGTTTTGTTACGGGCAAATCTTCTGGCATTCTATCTGACATATCTTCTGGCATTCGATCTGGCATTCTATCTGGCATACCTTCTGGCATTCTACCTGGCATATCTTCTGGCATATGTTCTGGCATATCTTCTGGCATTCTATCTGACATTCTATCTGGCATATCTTCTGGCATATCTTCTGACATCCTATCTGGCCATTCTATCTGGCAAATCTTCTGGCATTCTATCTGACATATCTTCTGGCACTTTATCTGGCATACCTTCTGGCATTCTATCTGGCATATCTTCTGGCATTCTATCTGGCATATCTTCTGACATCCTATCTGGCCATTCTATCTGACATGCTATCTGGCGTTCTATCTGGCATATCTTCTGGCATTCTATCTGGCCGTTGAGGTCCAGCGGTGCTCACTGAGCTCGGAAGGTCCCAGGTTGAGGTCCAGCGGTTCTCACTGAGCTCGGCGGGTCCCAGGTTGAGGTCCAGCGGTGCTCACTGAGCTCGGAAGGTCCCAGGTTGAGGTCCAGCGGTGCTCACTGAGCTCGGCGGGCCCCAGGTTGAGGTCCAGCGGTGCTCGGTGCGCTCAGACCCTTGCAGTTGAGGTCCAGCAGTGCCCACTGCGTGCGGAAGTTGGCGAAGAGCTTGTCGAAGAGTTGGCAAGGCGGAAGTGGACATGGAAGTGAAGGCAGAGGTGGTGGAGGAGAACGAGGAGGAGGAGAAGAAGGAGGAGGAGAAGGAGAAGAACAACTCTGATAAAATCTAACAACCCTCACCTGGCAGGTGGGGAAAAAGTGTGTCAGTCTTCGCGTACCTACTGGATTGGCATTGCTGCATTATCTTGAAACATCACTATTCTGTCAGTAACTTCGCGGTCTACTGGTTTGTGACCGATTTATCTGGTTATCAGCCGTACCCCGGCTCTAATCAATTAACTGTGAGATCATCAAACTTCCTAGACCAGGGTCGTCCAAAAGCTCCATTTGATATCATTCAGAAAATCACTTTTAACTGTTGGAATTTAGCTTAATTTTTCTGTAGCAGCCTAAACTATTGTTTTGTATAGTGACCCAATGAAACGCACTTTTTTCAACACATTTAAATATTGAAGTCAATTACGCGCTCCAGAGCGCGTAATAATGACGCGCTCCGGAGCGCGTAACAATGACGCGCTCCGGAGCGCGTAATCCATTCAAATAAAGTTCAAAGCCATTTAGTACCAGCCTAAGCTATTGTCTCGTATGCTGATCCCATGTATTTAAATGAAACGCACTTTTTTCAACACACGTAACTACTGAAGTCAATTACGCGCTCCGGAGCGCGTAATCCATTCAAATCAAGATCAAAGCCATTTAGTAGCAGCCTAAACTATATTGTCCCGTATGGTGATTCCATGTAATTAAATGAAACGCACTTTCTTCAACAAATGTAAATAATACTGAAGTCAATTACGCGCTCTGGAGCGCGTAATAATTACGCGCTCCGGAGCGCGTAATCCACTCAAACAAAGTTCAAAGCCATTTAGTACCAGCCTAGACTACTGACTCGTATTGGTGATCCCATGTAATTAGATGAAACGTACTTTCTTCAACACATGTAAATACTGAAGTCAATACGCGCTCCGGAGCGCGTAATAATGACGCGCTCCGGAGCGCGTAATCCATTCAAATAAAGTTCAAAGCCATTTAGTGCCAGCCTAAGCTATTGTCTCGTATGCTGATCCCATGTATTTAAATGAAACGCACTTTTTTCAACACACGTAACTACTGAAGTCAATTACGCGCTCCGGAGCGCGTAATCCATTCAAATCAAGATCAAAGCCATTTAGTAGCAGCCTAAACTATATTGTCCCGTATGGTGATTCCATGTAATTAAATGAAACGCACTTTCTTCAACAAATGTAAATAATACTGAAGTAATTACGCGCTCTGATTAAGCGCGTAATCCACTCAAACAAAGTTTACTTCTCCCTAGATGAAACGCGTAAATACTGAAGTAATAATTACGCGCTCCGGAGCGCGTAATCCACTCAAACAAAGTTCAAAGCCATTTAGTACCAGCCTAGACTACTGACTCGTATTGGTGATCCCATGTAATTAGATGAAACGTACTTTCTTCAACACATGTAAATACTGAAGTCAATACGCGCTCCGGAGCGCGTAATAATGACGCGCTCCGGAGCGCGTAATCCATTCAAATAAAGTTCAAAGCCATTTAGTGCCAGCCTAAGCTATTGTCTCGTATGCTGATCCCATGCAATTAAATGAAACGCACTTTTTTCAACACATGTAACTACTGAAGTGGATTACGCGCTCCTGAGCGCGTAATTTGTTCAAAGCCATTTAGTACCAGCCTATAGTATTGTTTCGTATATTGACCCACTGTAAGAAAAATGTACTATTTGTTCAATACATGTAAATACTGAAGTCAATTACGCGCTCCGGAGCACGCAATAATTACGCGCTCCGGAGCGCGTAATTTGTTCAAATAAAGTTCAAAGCCATTTAGTACCAGCCTATAGGGCCTATATTATTGGACCCAATGTGAGAAACATGTACTTTATTCAATACATTTAAATACTAAAGTCAATTACGCGCTCCGGAGCGCGTAATCATTACGCGCTCCGGAGCGCGTAATTTGTTCAAATCGAGTTCAATGCCGTTTATTACAAGCCTAAACTATTGTCTCGCATGTTGATCCCATGTAACTAAATGAAACGTACTTTCTTCAACACATGTAAATACTGAAGTCAATACGCGCTCCGGAGCGCGTAATAATGACGCGCTCCGGAGCGCGTAATCCATTCAAATAAAGTTCAAAGCCATTTAGTGCCAGCCTAAGCTATTGTCTCGTATGCTGATCCCATGCAATTAAATGAAACGCACTTTTTTCAACACATGTAACTACTGAAGTGGCAGCGATTGGATCAGCCATCAGCTTCGATTGGCGGTGGAACCTTGGCAAAACACAAATCCACTCAATAAGGGAGTTAGGAAAAACCTAACTCCCTTGTTGAGTGATTCAAGTTGAATTACTCAAGAGGGTAGTTACGTTTTATCTCACTCCCTTGTTGGGCCTTTTGTGTTCCAATTGATGTCACCTATTCAAAAAGAATTACTCAACAAGGGAGTTGGGTTTTTCCTCACTCCCTTGTTGACCCGTTCAACGCGAATCACTCAACAAGGGGGTTAGGTTTTTCCCTACTACCTAATTGAGTAGATTTCACTCATTGCCTAGGATGCCCGTTCAAGAAGAATCACTCAACAGTGGGGTTCGGGCCAATCCCCGCTCAAGAAGAATCACTCAACAGTGGGGTTCGGGCCAATCCCCGTTCAAGAAGAATCACTCAACAGTGGGGTTCGGGCCAATCCCCGTTCAAGAAGAATCACTCAACAGTGGGGTTCGGGCAACTCGCCGTTCAAGAAGAATCACTCAACAGTGGGGTTCGGGCCAATCCCCGTTCAAGAAGAATCACTCAACAGTGGGGTTCGGCCAATCGCCGTTCAAGAAGAATCACTCAACAGTGGGGTTCGGGCCAATCCCCGTTCAAGAAGAATCACTCAACAGTGGGGTTCGGGCCAATCCCCGTTCAAGAAGTATCACTCAACAATGGGGTTCGGCCAATCCCCGTTCAAGAAGAATCACTGAACAGTGGGGTTCAGGCCAATCGCCGTTCAAGAAGAATCACTCAAAAGTGGGGTTCGGCCAATCGCCGTTCAAGAAGAATCACTCAAAAGTGGGGTTCGGGCCAATCCCCGCTCAAGAAGAATCACTCAACAGTGGGGTTCGGGCCAATCCCCGTTCAAAAGGAATCACTCAACAACGGGGTTCGGCACTGAACAGTGGGGTTCGGCCCATCCCCGTTCAAGAAGAATCACTCAACAGTGGGGTTCGGGCCAATTCCCGTTCAAGAAGAATCACTCAACAGTGGGGTTCGGGCCAATCCCCGTTCAAGAAGAGCCACTAAACAATGGGGTTCGGCCAATCCCCGTTCAAGAAGAATCACTCAACAGTGGGGTTCAGACCAATCTCCATTCAAGAAGAACCAGTAAACAATGGGGTTCGGCCATCCCCGTTCAAGAAGAATCACTCAACAGTGGGGTTCGGGCCAATCCCCGTTCAAGAAGAATCACTCAACAGTGGGGTTCGGGTCAATCCCCGTTCAAGAAGAATCACTCAACAGTGGGGTTCGGGCCAATCCCTGTTCTAGAAGAATCACTCAACAATGGGGTTCGCGCCGTTCCGCCTTCAAGAAGAATTGCGCAACAAGACAATAGTTTAGGCTGGTACCAAATGACTTGGAACTTGATATGGTGAATTATTCGCTCCGGAGCGCGTCATTTATTTTAATATGTTTGTTGAATAAAGTAGGCTTCATGTCCACAATGGTTTAGGCTGGTACTAAATGGCTTTGAACTTTATTTGAATGAATTGCGCGCTGTGGAGCACGTGATTTAGTTTAACTGTTGTTTAACAAATCGAAAGATACAGGAAGTTTCATGGATTCCATGAGGATTCCATGAGGTATAATATATTTGAGTTGATAGCGTGGCCTGGTATTCAATGGTTTTGACTATTGTTTAAAATAAATTGCACACTCCGGAGCGCATAATTTATTTGATTTCAATAAGGCCCAAAACAAATGAAAACCAGGCTAAACTATTCTCTTTGATATCAATCGGATGCAAATAAAACTTAATTTACTCAACAAAAATACTATAGCAAATAGAGTTTCATCTCGAGGAAATCCAGTTAACTTGTCACTCCAGCCAAGCCTTCATCTTTGTAAAGCACCCTTTGGTGATCGAACTAACAAAAACTCAATAGTTAATGGGGGGAGTCCGATCTGTGTGCGAAAAAGAAATCCAGCTGATTGCCATCATTTGTTTGTTTGATTTTGTTTGTGGGACTCAGAATTTGGTTTCATCATTTGATTTTCAAGAGGGTCATTTGGACAACCCTGTAGACTGCACTGTATTGGGCATTATATCTAGGGATTTTGCAGTCTTTCGTTTGCGCTTGCGCGATTGCGTGGTGGCTCTTGCTTGGGCGACTGCATGAGTGAGAAAGCCGACAAGTCTAAGAAGCGGCACCGGGGAGCGCGTGGTGGCAATCCTTGGCGTGCATCTCGTCCCCAGCTGGAGGGGTGGCGCAGACGGTCGCAAAACCAAAGCCGCCGGCAGCTGAACCATCGAGAAAGAGCTGCAGAACCTTCGGCAGCTGCAGGCCCTTCGGCGCATCGAAGAAATGTGCTACCGGGAGCATCTGAAGGACCACCTCCTGGAGTGTCTGAGCCTGGCTCTTGACGTTGGGTTTGGGTTCCTGATCGACCGGACGTTCGAGACAGTGAAAATAGACATGTGAAAACCATGTACACAAAGGCTGTTTGAATAGACATTTTTGTTATAGACTTCCCTGAAATCAAAATGAAACATCAACTGCGGCAATGATATATCGGAAATGTTAAATGTCAACTGGTTAGACCATCATACATCAACTGGTTTAACATGTTTTATTTCGGACATCATACATCAACTGGTTTTACCATGGTTTAACCATCCATTTCAATGGTTGGCATGGGATATATCGGATATATTGAGGTAAACAAATCCAGTGATGACAAATCAAATCTGGACCTGGATCATTGCGATATTTGAGGTCACTTTGCGCGGTAACTTGGTGGATCATTGTCAATGATATCTGGTGGATGAACCATCGTTCTATGAACAATTTCTCCAATGAAAATAACCATGATACCCATGTGAAAACCATGTTCACAAAGGCCGTTAGACATTTTTGTGACATTTTTCCCTTCATCAAAAGCAGGTGTTACTGGCCGTAACTATAGTTTTTGCCTGGATTTGTTGGATTGATTTTTATTGGAGAGTGTGTTGTGTTTTTGCTTTACCCTCTGGTTATTTGTTGCACGGTGCTGTGGATTACTGGTGATTTTTCATGGTGACTTAATGGTGATTTAATGGTTTAACAATGGGTTAACAATGGTGAATAATGGGATGATATGGGATTTACCCTCTGGTTATTTGTTACATGACGAACTGGAAAATGGCCCATAGAAATAGTTGATTTACCGAACTTAAAGATGGTGATTTTCCACAGCTATGTAAGTACGTTTACCAGAGGGTAAATGCCCTGCTCTGCCTGCGTTCTCGGAAGGGCATCTATGGGAAGCCATCGGTGGCTTCCCGTCTCCAAGCTGGATTGAAATGGGGTATGGCCCCAGTCGTTATGGCGTCTTTATAGGGAACATTATGACAAACCAGTGGAGTTAGGGATAACCTATCTTCAGTCAAACGGATGTGGGCTGGCTACAACATATCACTGGATTTGGTTTGATCCTGGACCCTATCAACATGAGTACTTGTGTGCAGTGAATTTTGTATTATTCATAGCTGCAACGCTCCGGGTGAATTTCAAGAGCTAAGTACTCCCAAATCAGTCGCCAATATCATCCAATATCACTTATTTAATATTTTACAATATTATACATATAAGTGATATAAGAATCAACATATATATATATATACACATATAAGTGGTTGTTATGAACATATCACTTACTTAATATATACAGTATTTTCATGAGAATCAACTCCCCAAATATCAACCATTGTGGCCTCGTTGCGCAACGATGATCTCCAGGTCTTTGCGTCTCTCATGGAACATCAACATCTTCCAATCTTCGCGGCGCAGTTCCACCCAGCCACCGGGCCTTTTTCAGATGCGGATGGGAAGAGACAGGGCCTAAGGGTACCTTTGGTGGTGCCCTAGATTTATGGATTTAATGAGAAACATGGTAACATGGTGAGTTATGCAACAAGAAATTGGATTTATAATGGCGTTATAATGGGATTTGTAGCTGATCTCTGAGAGCTAAGTTGGTGAGCATTTAACTCGGTGAATTCTACGCTTTATGGTAGATGTATCAAACTAGTTCACAGGGGTTATAAACCAACTTAGAACTGGGGGTCCAAATGAACCATTAAACATATCCTCGTTGGCGAACATAACTAGATTAAGTATTGGCTTATTGTACATATATATATAATTATATATCGAAGTGGTATTGAAGAGGTGAAACTAAACCAGCTGATAATCAATTGGGAACCGTTGAGCATATCTTTGCTGACTGGTTATGAAATGAGGACTTACACTACCTGGATGACTGGGGATTATGAACTATAACTAGCCAATATGTTGGGAGGATATATTCACAAAGACCTCCGGTCGATCGGAATTGCATCCCTAGAGTATCGGTCAAACGGCCGGGTTCATCACTGATGAATCGTCCGGGGCCTTGCTAGCTGCGTTGGATGGTGCCTTCCACGGAGCATTAGCCAGAAGGGCCGGTGTGATGCAGCCGATCATGATGAAATTTGAAATAAGGAATTACCCTCTGGTAAATTAACATAGCTACTGAAAATGGCCATAGAAATAGTGGATTTACCCAACTATAAAATGGTGATTTTCCATCGTTTTTTTTTTTGTATGTTTACTGTTTACCAGAGGGTATAGTAATTGACTAGTTTGTTGGGGATTATGAACTTAACTATATAACCCATATGGATGGGAAACCAGGCCAACTGATGTTTCATTGCTCAAATGAACCCACTTTGGCTACAGCGATCCAATGTTTGCTACCAATGGCCAATGGACCCGCAAAATTGTCCATGCTGTTTGGGGAATGATTTTGAGCAATTCGCGTATGGTTGAATTCAGTGATATAATTTTCCAGAGATGCTTCCTTGAGGGTCATATCCACTGATGGCCCAAATACCTCAATTTTACCTCAATCTTGGATGGTTAAATCTTCATGTGTGATGATCGAACCTTCATTTGGGTACAAGGCGATACATGGTGATATCTTAATTTTTGATACACGGTAAAACCTAGTCATAAGTTGGTTTGTAAACCTGATCAACTAAGTATACTATGTATATACCATAAACATCCATAAACCATAGGTAGTCTAGTTTGAAACCAACTTAGCTATCATAAATCAGCTATGAATCAGAATTCGTGTTGCTGTCACCATTTTTCTCAGGAGTTGTACTACTTCCTGGACCCCCACAGCGGTGCCGCAGAGCCCGCCGTCCATCGCGCCATCGAAGCGAACAGTTACCGTTCCGCAAAGTTCCCGCGTTGTGATGCGGGGATGACATCAGCCGAAACCGAGGACTTTTAAAATTGCCCATTTATCAATGGTACGGTGGACCAGCTGATAGGTGGTTTATCCCACTATTTATTGGGTTTCAACCATACATGGTGGTGCAGGATTTCTTCCATCCACAGTATCAATGGGATTATATATATATATGTATATATATCTGCTAACCAGCTACGTGTTTTTTTAAATTATGGGATTATCTACTATCATTGATGATGTTCCATTTTTGGCTGATGTTCCACATTTTACACCTATTTTAATGAGGATGGATCACCTATTTAAATGTTCCATCGTAAATGAGGATGAATTACCTACTGAAATTATTTACAATGATGATGTTCCACATCTATGTGTTAGTTTGCCCAAGGGTATCAGCCAGAGGTGGCCGAGCGTCGGAAGGCCCTTTACAACCTGTACCTCACCCATGGATTTTGACAGGGGTGGAACCTAAAATTGACAAATAAACCTCTCGTTGATCCTCATTTTCCTTCATTAGATAATCTGGCAGTATCCTGAGCATCCTTTTTTCAGACACAAATCGCAAAAAAATGACGTACGTTCCAATGACACATGGGAGAATGTCCATCTGTGAGGCTACTTCATGCAGTACTTCGTGAAGGTGGGCTATTGGCTGAGCAATGGCGAATCGGGATCTCACTAGCCAAGCTCACCATTTACCCTCTGGTAAACAAACAGTTTGCTATTGAAAATGGCCCATTAGTGGATTTACCCAACTATAAAATGGTGATTTTCCATTGTTACGTTAGTTTACCAGAGGGTATGTTGATCCCGTACATCACTTCCAGGTGTGGTTCTGACGATGGCTCAAATGTATAATTACGGGATGTCCCAGCCAGATTTGATTACCGGATGGTATTTGGGGATACATCTTCAAAAGAACTCAGGTTGATTATATATAGTATACCCTTGGGCAAACTAACAAATAGATATACTTGGTTATATCAGAAAATAACTCCCAAGGTATACATCTTTGATGACCTGTTGCGGTTCCAAATAGATCTGAAAAGAGACCCTGGTCAGCGGAGCATTTTTAATCAGCATCAAACAGCCAATTCTCACCATCGCAGGTAACTCCATGGGCAACTCGTGCTCTACTAAATCAAAACACAGTATTTATAAATATACAGGTTGGTGGTTTGGAACATTTTTTATTTTTCTGTGAATAGTTATTCCAACTGACTTTGATTTTTTCAGAGGGGTTGAAACCGCCAACCAATATATATATATTATTTATATATTATATTATATATGTATATATATTATATATATTTATATATTATATATCGCTTTTTCATTTGACAACCCCTTTTGAAGCTGCATCAATGTGACGCCACTTTTCCAAGTTGTACTACATCTATGATGATGTAACATCTCCAGGATATTTCATTCAAATCACATGTGAGTATGTGATTCCCTTCACCTGCCCATGGTCTTTCGTTTTGGGTGCCAACCTAAAACCCTGTGATGGAGAAAGTGAAGTTGGTGCTGGCAAACCGACCCCCATGAGATCCAAAGATGTCGACAATCGCTGGGTCCACAGGTTCTTGTACAAGTGGCAATGGTCACACCAGTCCAGCAACACGAAAGGTGCCTGCCTCCCAGAAGGTTGCCTCGAAATGGAAGAAATGAGATTGGCCCACCGTGCCCAACGCTGTGTGAACAACGTTCCTTGGGAACTAGTGCTGAATTTCGATCAACTGTGGAAATCCGCTTATGAGCCGCCCACGAAAGTCTTTGCCAAGAGGAGATGCCGTGAAGCCAACTTAGAATGCTTGACCCAAGTATGTTTGGATGGTTCAATGCAAACTATCGTTGATATCATATTATCGGTGTTATATTAATATATGTTGATCCCAACCAATATCCATGCACATGAAATGGTTGCTTTTCAACCCCCCAGTTGGGTCTGTCAGTGAATGGATTGTATAATCAGAATTGATGGTTGTTTTCAATAGGGAAATGGTGATTTATCCATGGTTTTAGAGCTACAATCTAAATTCAACTGAGGGCCAAGACCGTTCCCACATGGGAACAACATAGTCAAGTCTCAATGATTCCCGATGTCCATGTTTGATGAAATCCATGTTCTGGCGGGTAGAAACTAATCCTTTAGTTTTTTTGCTATCACTACGATTATCTACTAACCAGCTAAGATTGTTTTTTGCAGGTTATCTAAGATTGGCCATGTGTTTAGGAACCAGATCATACCCAATCCCAATTTTGATGGCCATTCCTCTTGTCAGAATTTGATAATCTTTGCACCAAAGCCTGATAATCTTGAACAGGTGCGGGAAGATATATAGTACCCAAAACAGTAAAGACACGTAAAAGGCTACACAAATAGTGATAGGTGATAACTGTGATAACAATTGTTATCATTTGATGGTGTCTATTTCTACACTTGTCATGTTTTTTAAGTTGAATAGAAAGTATGTCACGGTACGTCCGTTAAATCCGACCCATATGCTCAAGGTTTGGAATAACAACCACCCATTTACCCCTTTCAAATAAGCTATAGTTGTGTAGCCAGATATACAAGACCATGCGTCGCATGAACAAGTCGTCAGTGGGGAAGGTCCCATACATAGCTGGGTTATCACTATGCCTATTAGTATTTATTCACCAGATACTAGGTATCTATAGATATTAAGTGGAATGATCATAAGTGGAAGCTAACCAATTGCGCTTATAAAAACTAGTAACTGGATGATGATTGAGATATTATGATAAGTATGGTTGGTGGTTTCAAACATGTTTTACTTGCCATAATATATTGGGAATAGTCCTTCGCAACTGACTTTGATATTTTTCAAGATAGTTGAAACCACCAACCAGTTGTGATACGTATCATGATATGGTATATAGTAAATTACTATTACTATTAACAAATTACCATAGATAATAAATTAGTAAATATCCAATCATATTATAGTAACAATTACTATTAACCATATGTAGGTATGGTTTTTTCTATCCATGGTTTTTTGACAGATTGTGGACCAATCCATGAGACTGGAATCATGGCTTTTTGTTGAAGGGAACGCATCCCCAAATGGCCAAACAATTCAGGTTAGTGAATTATAGATGGTAATCTAAATTAACCTGAATATTTACCCAGATGGTAGGTTTTATATGGTACCCCCTATGGTCCTATTGATGGTTAGTTAACTATGAAAATTCACACAGAGCATCATGATCCTCCGAGTGAGTTCAACGCGCAACGCGCAGCGCGTTGCGTGACGCGCACCTCCAGGAGGCCATGAAATCCAACGTGACGGGAAAGGGGGAAGCCTTGAGGTGCCGGCGAGCCAACTGAGCCGTTGTGGAAGAATCTCCAACTGAACTGGTAAGATGCCAACTGAGATTTTTTGTTTTAATAACTGATGTATATATATATATATAACTGATGTATATATATATATATAGACATGTGTATATATACATATATATATATATATACATATTATACATACATATATAGATATACATATATATATATATATATATAGATATTATGATATGGTATATCCAAGTCGGGTATAGTCATACTATGAAAAAAACAACTCTCATACTGGTTATGTATCCACTTATAAGTGGAACTGCACCCTGATCTATAGTGAATCTCGAATGAGAAGGAAAGGTCTTTAAGCAATCCACTGTGCGGAAGCTGTGCCTCGTCTCTTGCTGTGTCCGCGTTCTTCCTGTCTACGCGCTGATGCTACGTTTTTTTCCAGAGAGAGTTCCATTGCCAAAGGCTCAGCAATGTATTTGCCCATATCGATGGAAACAACATCGCAGCACTGCTGGCTTGAAATTGTGCCAGGCGAACTGTTGCTTGATTATATGAACATCTATGAGCATTCAACCAGCAGCATATGAGTGTTTTAACAGCAAGAATGGGAAATCATATTTAACACGTCATGGTTGGAAATTGGTCCATGAAACTACCTGATTTATGGAAATGGCTCCCATGTTGTGGAGCTCGCTGGAGAACAGCCCCAAGTCATCCCAAATCGGAAAAAAGTTTGTAGATATCCAAGAAACTGGGACAAGCTTTGTTAGATACGAGCTAAAGTTATGGCCCAACTATTGTAACAGTTATTGTTATGGGTTTATAATGATATATAACCTTAGCTTTAGGAGTTATTATTTCATTTTTAACTGTTAAGGGCCGTACTTTAATCTTTAGCTATCAATGGTAAAGGTTAAAATGTACATTCACAGTTTTTTTTTAGCAGGTATCTAAGATTCACCATGAACAAGTGGAAGATGACCAAGAACATATGGGGTATACACATCCACCACGTGTCATTCGGAGATTTACCCAGAATCTTTGCATATTTTGGTTGGCTCGAAACAACGAAGCAGGAAACTCGGTAAGATAGATCCAATATAATGGTTGGTGGTGACTGGAACATGTCTTTCATATTTTTCCATATATAGATGATTACTGGATTTTAGTGGTTTACTGGATTTTAATGGATTTTAATGGATTTTTCCATTCAGTTGGGGATTTCATCATCCCAACTGACTTTCACTCCATCATTTTTCAGAGGGTTGGTTGAAACCACCAACCAATATACCATTTGGTTATGACTAACATAGCCATGGAAAATCACCATGCTATTAATAGGTAAACCATCTATAAATGGACCATTTTCCATGGCTATGTTAAATAACCAGAGGGTAAGTCGGATTGGGTTTACCTACTGTTTACATGGAACTGGGTGAAATCCTCATTTGGTTTATGCAATTCCGACTGGTTGGCTATGCAATTCGTGACTGGTGACTGGTTGGTTTAGTTTGTTCGTGATTATGTTGCATTTGTTGTGCCCATGTATATACTGTATATATATATATATGTGTATATAACATGAAAATACTACTGTAGCACCGGAAGATTTTTGCTGCGTAGCTAAGACTGGAACTTTGAAACTTACCTCCTGGGTAACAATGAATTAGGATTCGTGGCCAGGCCTCACATTCGTATGCTATTTCCAGGACTTTTCCCGATGGTTTTTGGTCAACCTTGCCAGGAAACTGGCGTGGTCGATGATATCACCAGTACTCCGGTTATATCATGCACAAGGAGAGTCTCAATGTTTATCTGGTTGGTGGTTTGGAACATGGCCTTTATTTTCCCATTCAGTTGGGAATGTCATAATCTAATCCCAACTGACTTTCACTCCATCATTTTTCAGAGTGGTAGGTATACCACCAACCAGTTATTCTATGACATTTTTCAGTTGCTTGGCTCATTCGTATGGGTCCATTCGTAGCTTCAAGTGACAGGCCAATGGATGACTATCCCCTGAGCTATCCACCCTTGGGAATCTTTGGCAGCGCACGGGACCCCACAACGTGGCGGCAGTTGTGGGTTTCATTTGTTGGTCAATGCTTCGAAATGTGGGTTCTGCTGCACTGCTACCGCTTGAAAATCGTGATAATCCTTTACCATAACTTGGGAGTCCCGCTCTCAACTCTCAACTAATTAGATGAGTAGGTCCATTTTTTAAAATATGTGTGGGTTAGATGCCAATGTCATAGATGTTTTCCCATCGTCTCCCATTTTCTTGCAAAACTCTGTGGAAACTCCGTGGGTCCGATGGCTCAAAGGGATGCCAAGCGCAGCTCCACTGCGTTCATGTTGCTCCGTTTTGGAGGGCCCGTTGTATCGTATGTATGGTACGTATGCTGAGACATATGTATGGTATGTATGGTAAGAATGGTACCCATTTATGGTAATAAGAAGTTATTCTTACTGGTGCTTAGTAGGGAATGGATGGGAATGGGGGTTGCTGGGATGATTATTGATAGTTAGCCAGTGGATCATTCCTGAAAATTCCCTACGTTTAGCACTGAGTGACACTCAAACTTCCTGGTCAGATGCTACTATGTCATAGTTTTTATGTGTTTGTTCTGGACCACCAAGCAAAACATGTTAGCTGCCCTCCAGTAATCAAATCAAATGTGGCAATGGAAAATACCCTATAAATGAAGGTGTTACGAGGAGAATCATCTATAAATGGTAGATTTTTCCATTGCCATGGTTAATTACCGAAGGGTATATTATGTTAATTAGTATATTTTCACACAATGCGGTTGGTGATTTCATACATGTATTTTTTCTGAATTAGGTATAATGAATCTCGGTGACTTTCTTATCTCATTTCAGGGGTTGACGCTCCTCAATTGAGAGTTTTTCTCATTAAGATTGCCATTCGGAGACAAACGAAAAACTGTACACAAAGTCTTGCAGAATCGGTTTGAGGGAAAACATTACAGTTGAAACTTGAAACCACTATATCATGGAATAGAACTATGTTTTCTTCTGGCTATTCCCTTACAAACCATTCCAGTGACTCTTGATGAAGCATTTTTCTGTGAAGTCCCTATTGGGGATGACAGATAAATATGACATAAACCATCCCCAAAATCAACATAAATAGGTGGTACACACCATTCCCAAATGGGTGTTTCATTCTTGTTTTAACCACATTAGTGTGTACATATATATGTATTATATTATCCTCCAGAGGTTTCGACCCCCCAAAATGGTACAATGATCTTCTCAGCGCCGTAGTTGTTTTAAAAGGCTGCTGAAGTCCTATTTCTCGGCAAGACCTTGAAGGGCTATGTCTTCAACCACACCACGTGGGGGGCCCAGTGCTGCCAGTGACACTGTGCTGATGAAAGTCATGGGAGCAAATGTTGTTTACAAATGTTGTTAATATAAAGCAAATGGGCAGTTATGGTGTGTTTATTGTTTTTGTTTCTGTTATTTGTATTTATGTGTATTTAGGATTTAAAGTAGAACAATTGGAGAATTGTTCAAGTATTTTTCTTGGGTTTTGAAGTAACAAGTATGTTTTCGTTTTTGAACTTAAGCAGGGGACAGATTATTGATAGTCTGACATGCGTGGAACTTGCACCAACAAGAATTTGGAGATTCACCTGCAGAGCCAGATCTATGGGGCGCCTTTTTGGTGTTAGTAACTCAACGGATCTTTTGGGCCAGCCCAATTCCCTGAACTATCCTGATTTCAGGTCCCTGGAGATCCCAGAAAAACACTTGGCTGTTGAAGTGTGGCCTCACTGCCTGGTCGTTTCACTCCCGGAATCCGATCATGGGAGAAGAAGCAGGAAACCTCCGAATGATGTTGGGAAACTTTCCGCATGTGCAGCTGGTATTGAACATGTCCAACTCTTGCTGCTACCCTAAACCTTCTTTGTGGTGTCTACTTCCCAAGTTGTGAGCTATATTCCACATCCTCGTTGGTCCCCGTTGCTTATTGTTGGACCAACGTCCCATGCTTAAGATCCCGCAACCGACTTAGTGGTTGTTGGTGTCTTTTAGGGTGGGCTATCCATGTTTACATGTTTACATTTTTGTTGTTTAAAACACCTTGGCAATCCCTGTGCATTATATGTAATATGTACACAACTCTACACAACCCCGGTCCCGCTTAGATAGAATTATGTCATTAATTTTCCAGATTATCCATTATATTAGGATACCATATTATACCCATCATTTTTGCTGATTAATCCCACTTAACCCTTAGATACATCATTTCTCATAATACCTCAAGTATAGTGAATCCAAGGTTTTCTTTGGGTAATGTTAGGTTTTCTACAGTCTACGAAAAAAAACAAGATGAAGCCCACGAACCCGAATGCTCACACGTATGTCCAAGATAACGATGTTAAAGTATCGATAATGATATGAGATGCAAATGTCAATGCTCAAACCTATTGCTCCGGAACTGTTTTCTCTCCGCGACAGCAGCACTGGCGTCACAACGCAGTGGCGCGCGGCAAGCAGCGCCTTCCAAGACATGGAAACCATGCGAGACGAATGTGTTGGGAATCACATGCGTCGATGCAACAAGATAAAATGTATGGATCAACGAACCAGAAAGTATCGGAAACGTGTTGAAACATCCTGCAGTGGCACCAAGCACGCTCGATGCCTCCACGGCACTGGTGTTGCAAAGCTGCATCGCGACGCAGTCATCACCTGCCAGAACATCCGAGCCAGACGAGGCACAGTTGTAGCAGACGAATCATTTTCTGAGTTATGGAAACAGAATCTTGATGAAGACAATTCAATAACGAGTGTGTGAGACAACGAAACAACCCAAACAAAAAGGATAATAAGAACGGCTCTTGTTGATCTGTCCAACAAAATCATATCATCTTCAGATTGCAAAAGGAACAGGGACTTCTTTCTACCATTGCCGACGGCTGTAACACGTCCTGGGAGCTGCTCAGCAAGACAGCGAGGACAGCGCCACCAGCTGTCGCTCTATAGACAACCATACAGATTTTGGTCATGTCCAACTTCTTCGCAAGACAACGGAGTCACCAACGCCAGCTGTCCCTCTGTTGCCTGAAGTCAAACAAATTCGTCGAAATAGATGCCAAGACCAGACGAGGCTCACCTGGCTGTTTGTGTTGCCAGCGACAATGCAAACCACCAGATGAGCAGTGTCTGGTTCCATCGGGGTCGCATTTTTGCTCCGAGAGAGATGGAAGCTCGATTGAATCAAACCTTGACGCAGAGCAAGCACAGGAAACCCGGGGTCTCTGGCTGGACCGCCCAGCCACAAACGCTGGGAACTGACTCGCAAGGCACTCAGATGGCACGGATGATGAACTGATCCGCAAGATCCGGTGTGAGAATTGCTTGTGTGTGTGGCACTCTTGTCATGTTTTATTGACTTGGCTTCGTGCGATTTCGGCTTTGCTCAGCTTCAAGATTTTGATCAACATACAGAGATGCAGATGTCCGAAGCGCTCGGTTGGATTCGTTTCCAGGGTTTCTTAGTTTGTTGGGAGCGGCGGCAACACATTGCCCTGACAGTCGACAGACATCGAGTCAAGCATGTATTCTGTGAGGATGTTTGTTTTCAATGCTGTTCATAGTGTATGTAGAACTTGATGGCACTCACACGCACTTCCGCTCTCACCTGAGCGACCCGGCCGAACCCGCGTGCGGACCCAAGGCTCCGCCGGGCAGACCGTCGAGGCTGTTGCACAAGAAAAAAAAAAACGGTTGCATGTTGAGTGGTTCAGCATGCTGTCTTTCGAGAAATAGCGTTGCGTCGTAGTCTTGACCTGCGCGGTCTTTTTTCCAGGCTGCCCGCTCGGGCAGCCTGGCCCACCCTCCCTACCTCCCCACATGGGGCCGGTCAGCAACTCTGCTGCAAAAGTTGCAACAGAAGCACCACCAGGCCACAGCAGAGGAGCTCCAGCATGGGAAAGAGCGAATCATGGGAATGCATGTTCCTCGGGGCCAACGCCACCTGAGGTTTGGCACCACAAACATCACTTAGCATGGGTTCGAGCAACAGAAGCAATGCAACACAAGAAATAGCATATCGCCAAGGACATCTATTGCTTGTTCTAAAAACAAATTCAATCTACAAGCTTTGCGTTCGACCAACTGGGCATGATGGAAGTATGTGCACGGGCACGATGCTATACATCATCTTTGCCAATCAACACAAAGCTAGTTCAGGAAACCCAGAATCTGTGGCTGGACCGACCAGCCACAGGCGCTGAGAACCTCTTCCATTAGCAACTCAGATGGCGCGGACGATGAGGATCTTGCAGTGTTGTCACAGACAACAAGACTTTTGTTTATTGTGGTGGTACGGTGCTATGAAAGGACGCAGCCATGCACCGTGCAACCACAATAAACAAAAATATTGGCTTAGCCGGCATTTAATTGTCTTCCACTCAGAGGCCTCGAATGAATCAACCTGCGACGCAAAGCAAATTCAGGAAACCCAGAGTCTGTGGCTGGACCGCCCAGCCACAGGCGCTGAGAACCTCTTCCATTAGCAACTCAGATGGAGCGGACGATGATCTTGCAGTGTCCTCATGAAAAGTCGACCGCACAAACTGCCTGCCCATTAGGTCACATCCGAGCGACGCGGCCGAAACCGGTGGACGATCAAGGGCCAGACGGGCAGAGCACGAAAAAAAAAACGAAGCTGTCATCGCCTGTGGTGAGAGTTTTGCGATGCATTTGTTTGCATGTTGAAAAATAGCGTTGCGTCGTAGTCTTGACCTGCGCGGTCTTTTTTCCAGGCTGCCCGCTCGGGCAGCCTGGCCCACCCTCCCTACCTCCCCACATGGGGCCTGCCAGCAACTCTGCTGCAAAAGTTGCAACAGAAGCACCACCAGGCCACAGCAGAGGAGCTCTAGCATGGGAAAATGCGAATCATGGGAATGCATGAGTACCCGTGTGCTTTGGTTCCTCGGGGACAACGCCACCTGAGGTTTGGCACCACAAACATCACTCAGCATTGCTTCGAGCAACAGAAGCTATACAGCACAAGAAATACACGTCGCTGAAGACATCCATTGCCTGTTCTAAAAACAGATTCAATCTACTAGTCTTGCGTTCGACCAACAAGAAACAGCCGATCAACAGCCGACCACGATGTCAACATACACTGTCAACGTCATTCACAAGAAATGGTATAGTCTGCAAAGCTTTCTGCACATCAATCTAAAAACAAAAGTCACCGACATCGTCATCGTCATCAGCATCATCGACGCTGTCAAATGTCATACACATCCCACCTTTCCAAAGTGACACAAAAGTCATACAGAGCCAGCAGCTGCAAGCATCCAGATGCAAGCTTCCCAGCGGCAAGTTGCCCAGGCGACGGAATCTGACCAACAGCTCGCATTGCCAGAAAAACAGTAAAGCAATACCAGCAACAAATGATGTCAAAAATTATTTACAATTGCTGTACACGAGGTTTTCATATTCAATTGCTGCACAATCATAATCATTTTTCCGGGTACAGCAGTGCTGTAACCTGCAATGTCTGTCACTTCGTCATAACGACGGCCATTGCAACAAGGGGAAAGCCATATACGAACAATAAGAATCAAATAAAACATATCATCAACAGCTCATCACCGCCAGACATCCGCGCTCATACACACTAATGCGGTGATAGAGATATCCGCATTCCCAGTGCCTCCACGACAGCGCCAGCTGCCACCTCCCAAAGCAGCGCCACGAAGCAAGCGGCACCTGCCAGAACATGCGAACCACATGATGCAAAGACATCGGAAACATAGATACTGAGGCCATATGCCATATACAACCGAAACTCATCAAATAGGCATTAAATGAATTACAACAACAACAACAACAACAACAACAACGATAACAACGACAACAACAGCTGAAAACACAAGTTCAATAATGCTGAGATACACAAACATCAACGTTAGCCTGCGACCCCACGTCCCATTTTCCATTTCCCAGAAGCGAAGGTGTGCCGTTTCCGAACAGTATACACAAACCGAACCCCCACGATGTAGCCGTCTTTCGGACGGTCCGTCCACTGCAGGCATGCGGGTCCACTCGCAACTCCAGTCTCACACATTGATACTCAAACACAATGGGGCCAACGCCACCAATTGTGCGTCTATACGCTAGCATCAGCTTCCCGGTTCGACGTTGAGCACAAGCGAACCTTCCTTCTTTTCCCACGGTGGCAGTCGGGGGTCAGCACCGTCCTTCCAGCGATGCTCTTCCAGGTGGCGGAGGTCCACGTGGGTGTACACATCCAGTCGTTGCCGCAAGATCTCCGCGAAAGCGATGCTGCGATGTCTTCCCAGCGT